CCCCTCCCCCCCCATAGCGCGATGTATGTGCTAGTATGGCCAGGATGATGAAGAGGCTGGGAAGGATATGACTGTCGGCCAATCAGTTCTCAATTCGTCTCAACTTGAATTGGATGACTTTCCTTCTTTGTTCATTTTTCCTGCTCTTATAGTGCCGTGAAACGCACGAGATCATGTACTCGGTGCCAGGGCAACACAGAGAGGGAAAAAGCTGGGGTCCGTCCCTGTATACCGAAAAGGGTCGATCACATGTCACGCGCTATAGCAGTAGGCCGCCGATCACTAATGGCAGAGATTGAAACATAAAGCATGTTCGCCCTTGCCATCATTATTACCATCCTCTCATCATCCGCGTCTTTTCTTGCCGTATCATTTCCCCCATGATCTCCCCTTCATAACAGCAGGGGAAGCGGAGAAAAAGAACGAGAAGGTTTGGTCGGATATCCAACCGACGCGTGCCATGGCATCAGCTCCAGAGCGCCTGGTCGCGCCCAACGTCAGAGACGGCAGCAGAGGCCTCAAGAGTAGCAATGGGCTCCTGAATCTCTCGCCCATTCCGCCCATCCTGCGACCCTTTATCAGAGCGTATCTGCTCGGCTACGCATCCGCCGTCGGACCGCGTCTCCTGACCCTCATACTGCAGCGTCTGACGAGGCGGAAGAGGAGGCGTCTGTCGCAGGGCCGAGATCGGGATACCTCGTCATTCCGCCAGTCAGCCCTGTACATCATTCGTACGGGATTCGACTTCCAGAGATTCCCGACATTCTGTGCCGTCCTCGTAGGCGGGAGCACGTGGTTCATGGTAATACGTCACACCTCTCTCTTCTCTCTCCACATATAGCTCATGCCATCCCTAGGGTCCCTTGGCCAAGATGCTACAATTGTTACTCAAGAGCCTAGACGAGACTTCACGTACAAGGTACTGCAAGCACACGCACACACACACACACACACACATACACATACATGCACACTTCTTCTCCTCTACCGAGATTCATGGCGGGGATGCTGACGCATACTTGACTCGTAGACTGGCTAGATGGTTGGCGACTTTCATTTCCGCCTGGCTAGGCATGCGCCTCCTTCATTCCAAGGACAGTCCGGCCTTTACAGAGGCAGGCCCGGTGGGAGAGGACGGAAAGCGGGAAAAGATACTTCACGGCGGACGTACCGTGGACCTCACTCTATTTGCCGCCACCAGGGCCATGGATGTGCTCGTGGGGGAGTATTGGGCCCGACACTCTGCCCGGCGAAAGGCGGCCAAAAAATGGACCAAGGTAAGGGCAGCAGCAGCAGCAGCAGCAGCACGAGAAGTAGGAGAAAAGAAGTAGAGAGGAGAAGAAGAACGAAAAAAAAAAGAGGCAACAAGACTAACACGCGTTAAAACAGCTGGAACAGCTGGCTACCAACATGATTGACCCCTCTGTCTTCATCGTCTCATGCTCCTTCATAATGTGGGCATGGTTCTACCACCCGACCAATCTCCCGCGCAGCTACGACAAGTGGATAACGTCGGCGGCGTCGGTCGACTCGCGCCTGATCGAGGCGCTCCGGAGCTGCCACCGAGGCGAACTCCGGTACGGGGAAGAGGCCGGAGGGAAGTCGAAGTCGTCCGTCCTCGGATCCATGTGCGCCGACTACGGGTGGCCACGGACCTGGGGCAACCCGGCGGAGACGATCCCCTTCCCCTGCGACATGGTGCACATGGGTTGCGGCCCTTCGTGCGAGTACCACGCCGTCAGCCGCTTCGCCCGCTCCTTCAGGTGGTCAATGTACACGTATCTGCCGCTCGCGCTGGCGTTCAGGCTGCGCCGCCCGACGCGCAGGGGCGTCCTGCTCGCCGTGCTGTCGTCGGCCCGGTCGTCGGCCTTCCTGGGCGCCTTCATCACCCTCTTCTACTATGGCGTCTGCCTGGCCAGGACCCGCGTGGGGCCCCGCGTCGTCGGGAAGGACGTCGGCGCCCGCCAGCGCATCGACTCGGGCCTCTGCGTCGGTGCCGGATGCGTCCTGTGCGGGTGGAGCGTCCTCATCGAGACGGCCTCCAGGCGCAAGGACATGGCCCTGTTCGTCGCGCCGCGCGCCCTCGGCACCGTCGTCCCGCGCAGGTACCCCCGCGACAAGCAGTGGCGCGAGGCCGCCGTGTTTGCCGCCAGCGCGGCCATCATCATGACGTGCGTGCTCGAGAATCCTCAGAGGGTGCGCGGTGTGCTGGGACGGTTGATGGGTACCGTCATGAAGATGTGACCATCCTTCTCTCTTCTCTCTCTCTCTCTCTCTCTCTATAATTCCGGATTGCGTCTATCAAGGTTCCGTCATTACAATATCATTAATCTTACTCATGCATGTATTCTGTATATAATAGATCAATATCTTCCTCTGATATTTGCTACTTCAGGCATGACTCACGACCTCCACCAAGCACACACCCCCAGAACAAAGATGCAGGCGAGAATATCCGACCTGACCGTGGTGAAGATCTGCCCATACCTCATGACCATCTGAGCGTACCCCTTGAACGGCTGAGGCAGGAAGCCGGAGACGGTCCATGCGATCCCGGCCGGCGGGTCCCGCCCCTTGTCCAGAAAGAAGCGCGTGGTGAGCAGGCACGCCTCCGCCGTGGCAAACACCCAGAAGAACAGCCTCTTGCGCTCCTCATTCTCCTGTATCTCATCCGCGGCAGCCAACTCCCTCTCCGCCCTCGTGCCGGTGAAGGGCGTCAGCGCGACAATGTAGAGGCCCAGCCCGAGGGCGACGATGCCGTGCAGCAGGCGCCACAGAGACGTGTACATGTCCGGCGGGGAGGCCTTCTGCTTCTGTCCGAGGGCGTCTCCGAGGCCGGGGATGCCGGCCAACGGGTTCCCCGCTCCGGCGGCGCCACCGCCCATCATCTGGCTCATCATCTGCATTATCGGGTCGTCGCCGCCCGCCGCCCCACCGAACGGGTTGGCATTCTCCTGCCCATCACCCTGCTGCTGCTGCTGGAGAGGAGGGGGGGGACCCATGCCGAGCATCATCTGACGGAGGGCATCCTCGGAAACGGCCGGCTCAACACCCTGATCCTGCAATCGCTGTTGCCCCCGTTCAGTCGTCTTGGGAACGTGGAAGTGCTCTGAGATGTCGACTTCCTCGGGATCGTCTGTCGTCGCTGTCGGAGTAGCTGCGGTGGCGGAAGGTGGCTCGAAGTCTGTTGTCCCCCCCCCCCCCCACGCACGTCACGTTAGCGTATTGATTCCCAGTGCACGTGGAGAGGCAGAAGAGACCGGCACCATGTCTACTCACCTGCCATCGGTCTCCCGCTCAGCCCGGTAATCTTGTTCAGGCGAGCCGAGCCGCCTGCCTTGAGCTTAGCCTCACGACGCTCCTTGCGCAGACGAGCCTGTTCGGCCGCCCTCTGTGCGGGGTCTTCGCTCCCGGTTGATGCTGCCGTCTCCGTCATCTTGCTCTTGTGTCTTCTATCTTCCTGTCTTCCTATCTCCACTCGTACCGCTTTGTCGCGTCGGCCCAGGTCCTGTGTGTTGTCGTGATGAGGATGCCGGGATATTTCGTGGGGTTGTGTTGCGGTGGTGATGTGTTGTCGTGTTGGGTGGGTCATTGGGCGTTTCTGTTTCTAGAATTCACCTCGTCTCGATTTGCCTCCCGTGGGCCGAGTATAAGTAATATATACCCTACATGATATGAAAATACCAACATCAGCCTGACAAATCTTGACATGACATCGGCCTAGACTTTGCCAACAGTAACGTGTGAAATTCATATGCTGATTCGACATTGCAGAATCACTTTTTGTTTTCCCATGTAATTTTTTTTTTTCCAATGTGTTTCTCTCTCAAGATGCTTGACCAACTTTATATATCCCCACACTCTCTGGATTCTGGATGTTGGCTGTTGGGTATTGTCGCTGTTACTTTGCCGAAAGCCTCACAAATAAAGACGTGGAACAACATATAAATTGATAGCATCAAGATAACAACTTTTGTACCATGCACCATCTCTAGTCTAGAGCAACCCTTCTCCTCCCACAGTCATACTTCATAATCCATCGGTTCCTCATTCGTAGACTGGAGCAACGACAAACAAAAAGTGCGATTAAAAAACATTCAACTTGCGTAAACAAAGTGGGTGTGCTACATATGCTTTCCATTGTCATGGTGATTTACGGAGTCGCCTTGCTCATACTAATGAGCCTCTTGACACCGACCTGTAGAAATTGAGGAGAAAGAAAGTCAGCTTACACCATCACGAATGTATGGGTTGGGGGTTGAGTTCTTCCTTACCATCCAGTTGCCACACTCGTCCGTCTTGTTGGTCTGAATCTCCACCTGCAGTCTCTGAGCGGTGGCGTAGTCCCTGCTCTGCACAGCTTGGGCGATCTGCGAGAGCTGCTCGATGGTCGCCGGCTGCACCAGCTCCTCGTTGTTCAGGTGGTCGAAGAGGAGGCCCAGGCGCTTCTGCGTGTCCTTGACCTGCGCGGCAAAGTTGGCGGGCGCCTTGGACGCGACGCGCTGCATCTCCGAGCTGAAGACCTCGACTAAAGGCTGGGCATCGGCAGGGATGTGCGACCGGTCGCCGGGCGGGTGCCTCTGCTTGGGAGGGGGTGCGGCAGCAGCCGCGGGAGGAGGTGTCGCCACGGGAGCTGCGCCGGGGGGAGGTCCAGGCCTTCCCCCGGGAGGCGGTCCCGTGGGGGGGCCGGTAGGAGGAGCTTGGGGAGGTGCCGTCTGCGTAGCCGTCGGTGGCACGTAAGCCGAAGGGAGGGGTGCGTATGGCGAGGCAGCAGGCGCGGACGGGTTGCTCTGGGTCGGCTGATGAGGCGACGGCGCATAAGGGTTGGCTGCAGGCGGGGGCCTGACGGCTCCTGGTGGAGGGGCGATGGGGACCGTGCCGGGCTGCGGGGTGGCCTGCTGGGGAGCAGGCGCAGGCGTGTACCTGTTGGACGGGGGAGGTCCAGTGGGCGGAGCGTTGTAGGGGGACGCGCTCGGCGGGATAGGGGTGTGAGCCTGACCAGCAGCAGAACCGACCGCGGGGGGCGGCGGGGCGTACATGTTAGCAGCCGAGGATGGACGGGGAGGTCCCTGAGGAGGTCCGGCCAGCGGCGACTGAACACGAGCGGGAGCAGGACCCTTGGGAGGAGGAGGGGGAGGGCTGGCCACGGAACGCTGGCCGTAAAACCCAGCCGGCGGAGGTCCCGAAGGTGATGCCTGCTGGTTGCCGGGGAAAGGCGAGGTGATGGGCGCAGCGCTGGGGGTTGACCTCCTGGGAGGAGGAGCCCTCGCGACCATGGGTACGTCGTTCCAGTTCTCCGTGCTTTTGGGCTTGGCGGGCGGGGGCCGCGTGGGCGTCTGGTTTCTCGCCGGGCCGGCCATGGGGGGAGGCGCGATACCGCCAGGGTATCCGGGCTGCGCCGGGGGAGCGTATGCATTCTGGGGCGGCGCATATGGGTTCGGAGCGTACGCCTGGGGCGTAGGTGTGTAAGCCTGGACTGTAGGCGCGTAGGGGTTGGCAGAAGGCACCGGGGCGGGGGCCGGGATAGTAGGTTGTGTTGGCTGGTAGCCCATGCCAGGCGGCACCCTGGACGACGTTCGGCTAGCCGAAGCTGGCTGCCTAGCGGCCGCGGCGGCGGCCGTCCGCGGCGCAACCGTCGTCTTCTGGGTAGCAAGACGGACGCGGTTGCGCGCAATCTCGGCAGCGGCGTAGTTGGACGGCAGGAGGTCCAGGTACTTCTGAGCAACGTTTAGCTGGCCGTGACCAGCCAGGATGTCGGCGTACTCGGTGTACTTGTCGTACAGGGTCGCCAGCTTCCATCCGGAGGTCAGCTCCTTCTCGCTGTCGGTGAACTTGCTCACCTCGCGGAAGACGGTGACCTTCTCGATGAAGTTCTGTAGGGACTTGGCGTGGACCGAGAACGTGGAGCCTTCCTCGGCTTGGGTGATGCCGGCCTGCTCGGCCTCCTCAAGCTCCGCAACCCAGATCGAGACGACCTTCTCGAGCTTGGAGCCTACCAGGTAGCAGAAGGAGGCGTCCTTGCGAGAACCCTCGTCGTTGATACGGTCACCAAGGGCCTCGCACAGGTCGGGGAACTCGGCGGGGTCGGAGAAGGTGCACAGAATAGCCATGGCCTCCTTCCAGTTTCCGAGCTCTGCATTGTACACGATATCCCACAGATTCTTGTTGACGACGGAGCCCAGGAGGCGCATGTAGCTTGGGACTCCGCTCTTCTTGGACAGGTAGGCGGATTGCACCTTGTCCACAAGTTCCTGGCCACCACAGTTGGCAATAAGAAAGGCGTCAGCCATGCGGTCCTCCTTCAGGCATATGTCCGTGGCCTTGGCAAAGTTGCCCAGCATGATAGCCTTGGTGATGTCCTTCTCGACTGAGGTGTCAGAGTCGCTGAAGAGCTGGAAGGGGTTGTCTGTCTTGGCGCCCTTTGTGGCCGTCAGGCCGTTGAGGAAGTCATCGTCGTCGCCATCGCCCTCATCAAACATCTTGGACAGCTCTTTCTTCCTCGTCTCGTCCGTCTCGCCATCCTCATCAGTGGCGGCGGCGGTCTCACCCTTATCGTCCTCGTCAGCCTCAGGCTTGTCCTCGCCGTTGGCCAGATCGTCCTCCTCCAAGCCGAGGTACTCGACAATCTTGCCGCGGGGGTTCTCTCCGACAAGGGTCTGCATGACCTGCCAGTCAGCCTTCTCCTCATCCGTCTTGGACTGCTCGATCTTATCGGCACAGATGGCCGTCAGATCGCCAGAGGCAATGGCGGACTGGAACTTCTCGGTGGCGGAAGACACGTCAGAGTCGACCGAGAAGTTGGCAATCGAGATGCTAGATGAACGCTGCTGGCCGGGCTTGGACGGGTTGGCCTTGAAGACGACAACCTTGCCGCCGAAGCCAAAGGAGACACCGACGGGTCGTTCGAACCACTTGGGTGCCTTTCCTAGCGACCACGAGGCATCCTGAGGCTGTGTCTGAGCGGCGCTGAAGAAGTCCTCGTCGTTCAGGTTCTTCTCAGCGGCTGCCTGCGATGTGTCTGGGTTGGTGTTCTGCAGGGTCTGGACGGTAATCTTGCCGTCGAAGCTGGCAGTGGCTGACAGGTTGGGGTTGTGGGGGTTGAAGCGCGTCTGGAAGGTCCAGTTTGTGAGCTCGGGGAGCTCGCCGAGACGTTCGCCGGTCTGCGGGTTCCACACAATCGTCTTGTTGTCCTTGCCCGAGGATAGAGCGAGGTCGCTGTCCTGGGAGCACCACGATAGAGACAGAACGCCTTGCTCATGGCCTTGGAGGGTCCTCTCGGGGGCGTTGGAGTTGCGAAGGTCCCACAGGAAGATGACGGGGGTGTTGTCGTCAGGCGTGGACGTGAGAAGCTTCGTCGAGTTGTGGGGGTCCCACGCGATGGCACTGACAGGCTTGCGGCTGTTGTTGAGCGTGAGCGACGCCTTCTTAGTCTTCAAGTCCCACACGGTGACGAAACCGCCCGTGCCACCGGTGGCCAGAATGTGCGAGACCTTGCGGTTCCAAGCTAGGCATTCAATGTCGTCGGATCGAGCTGCAGCATTTCCAAGGCGGAAAGGGTTGGATATGTCTTTAACATCATAGATGAAGAGCTCGCCCTTTGCGCCGGCGGTGGCGAGGATCTGGGGCCTGAGCGGGTTGAACTGGACTGCCTTGATGGGACCCGTGTGCTTCTGGGTCTGGGATATGGCCGCATCCGACGAGCCGGAGATGAGCTTCTCGGCGTCCCAGAGGTCGAGGGATCCGCTCTCCAAGCCACCGGCGATGATACCCTTAGGGTGCTCCGCGTCAGGGGCGCCCCAGGCAATGTCGTAGAATCTAAGAACACGCGTCGTTAGCTAGCCAACCCCCCCACCAACGGTTTTTCTTCTTCTTTTTTGCATATATCGCATCTGCCACACATACTTGGACTCTGTGGAAATGCTGGCAATAGGCTGGAGCTCCAAGCCCTGCTCCTGATCATCCAGAGACAGGTCCCATATCTCGAGCTTGCTGTCATCGGAGAAGTCGTCGTCCACCGCACCGGCTCGTGTTCCAGTGACCAGCAGCGGCTTTCCCGAACCCGGAAACCAGGCGAAAGCCGCCGTTCGAGGCAACTCTCTGAGGCGCACCATGGCGTGATGTTGTATATCTGCGTCGGAGCAACCGAGGAGGAGGGGTTGGTGATGTGATGCGTGTGTACCGCTGTTGGGGGGCTCAACGGCGGTCCAGAGTCTCGTTAATTAATTCGACAGGGAAGAGAGGAAGATGACAATGGTGAAGAAAGAGAGAGAGTGAAAGGGTAGATAGCGTGTCCTCGACCCCCCCAGCTGAAGGGCATTAAAGCTGGCCTTGGGGAATAGGAAGCGTCGACCAAGGGAATGTGGTAGGTATTATGATGCCAGATTGCAGCGTGTCCTCGGCTGCCTTCTCCCTCTCACTAAACTGCCACCTAAACGCACCGACCTCGCCCACTCTATGAGCCCCAGTGCACCCCCTTCGGTGCGGAGCTCGCAGTCAGCTCCTGCTAGGAATCTTGCTGCCCCACTACCTAACCGAACCACCACCAATGAACCGTTGTTGGCCCCTGTGGCAGCCGCCAGAAGCCCACCACAGCGCAGAGAGCTGCGGACAGTCACATGATTCAATCGAACCTGGGCCAAGTACGGAGTAGAAGCTAGCAGGATGCAACAGTGAGAAAGAGCCGCCTTGATTTAACAGTTTGATATCGCCATCTGCTCTATCGACTGTGACTTTATTGATTTTCCTTGCAACAAAACAACACTCGTCCTCCTGTCCAACAACCACACTCTCTCTACAAACGCAAACACACACACAAACACACACACACAATGACAGACTCGGCGCGGTGGAAAGCCACCGTCTACGTTGGTGGTCTCTCACCTCTGGCTGCCACCAACCACGTCCTTGACGCCTTCATCCCGTTTGGTGAGATTGTCGAGGTCAAGGTGCCCAAGAATGACGCACCTAATGCCCAGAGCCCTCACAGGGGATTCGCCTACGTCGAGTATGAGGACAGCGCAGATGCCAAGGAGGCTATTGATAACATGGACCAGTCCGAGCTTTTTGGCAAGGTCCTCAAAGTGTCACCAGCAAAGCCGCCCAAAAGTGCCGATGAGGGACTTGGAAGCAAAACGGCCGTGTGGGAACAGGTACGTCTCCTCTCTCTTCTCCTTCTCTTCTTGACGAGCTCGATTATTTTTTTCATCTACCTGCTTGTTTTTCCACGGCATGACTAATTCGATCTGCAGGAGGGCTGGTTGTCAAAAAATGCTGCCGAGGAGGGCAACGGTGTCGCGGATGATGCAGAGCCTCCGATGGATAGTTCGGTCCCCGATCCCATGCAGGGGCTAGAAGGACTGGATGTCGCGGGACCGCAGCCGCAGTGATGATATCGATTGGGAGCATGCTGTAAAGGATTCTTCTTGAGCATAGCGAATGGCGTCTGGTCTGGGGCATTTCCCCATCTCCGAAATAACCACAGGAAATAGGCGAGATGGCATATCACATTCACATGGTAGCAGTGGTAGTAGCGATAGGCTCCCTGTAATTGTGGCAGGAAAAATAACTTGTTATTTCTGGCTCCTCTCCCTTTGTCACATGTACAGTGTGCTCCTTCTGTCTAGTAGAATAAAACAAAGTAAATAAATGAGCGACAGCTTAGTATATCCTCACCGGACACTTAGTGCTCGCGGCCGCCAGGGCCCTGGCGCTGGAGACGGAGAGTCTTGTCGACGAAGAACTTGCGGCCGCAAGAGTATCCGGCGGCGCAGACGGCGAAGCCAACGACGACGGCTATGAGTCCATGTCAGCATTGTTTAGCAATGGGGGAAGCCTCTGCTTAATAAGAGGAAGGGGGGGGGGGGGATTTACCGAGGGGGTACAGCTCAAGAGGGACCTGCTTGAGCTTGCGAAGACGCTGGGAGATTGTGTGGCCTTGTGTTCTCTCGTCAGTTTCGTCTCGTCGAAGGGGCAATGTGTATATGGTCTGGCAAAATTGAATCGATGTCGTATTCTCAGGGTGGTAGTTCATCATCACATACCGGCCTGGTCCTCCTTCTGTATGGTTTCAAAGAAAAAAAATAGTCGTTAGCCGGTGAACAGATCGGGGGCTGTGAGAAAAAAAAAAGGAGCAACGGCAACTCACGGGCACGGGGCGCATCATGCGCGGGGTCGCGCGGAACATCCTGAGAGCGGCAGTCGAACGCATGATGAATGGAGTGGAGAGGTTTCTCGTGTGTGGTTGAATTGATGGGAGGACTCGAGGTGGACGGTTCGGTAGAAGGGGAAGGGAGAAGTCGCCTGATGACGAAGAGTGATATATTATTTTGGAGCAAAAGGCTCACTCAAGTCTCTCTCCGTCTCCCCTCGGAACAAAGGTGGACAGGTCCTGCTGGCCCAATGACAAGGCCCACAATTTCGGAATCAAATCATCCATGTTATCCTGGTTGCCTTACCGAGCTAATTAGTACCGATTACCAGCGACCACTCCCCCAATCCCCCCCCATAGCCTCCCTCCATAGCCTCAGGCATACACACTTTTTTTTTCTTTTACTGACCAATGCGTCCAATGTCAGGCCACCTGATTCGATCCACTCCCCGTAACCAATTCTAACTTCATCCTGGGGCTCTTCTCTTCCGTCAACAAAACCAGTCTTCCCGTACCTTACCGTACAACCTCCACAACACAACAACTACCCGACCCTCAGTGCACTCAATTGCACCCGACCCCCCTCTCAACCCTGAAAATGTCCGACGAGAACGAGGATGGCCAGGAGCTTGTGACCAAGCCCTTCAAGTTTGTCACTGGTAAGTTTGCGATCCTCCGGGGATGATGAAATATCCCTCTTCCTGACCCCGTAGGGGAAGAAAAAACCACATCATCTCTTCCGTCATTCCGAGGCTAACATTGTCACGCAGCCGGTAAGCCGAAATCCACCACCACTCCCGACGACGATGACTCGACCCGATTCGCCGTGAATTCCGTTGCTGTTCTCTCTTGAAATAGGAGAGACGCAACATCAATCACGCCGACTTTCTTCTGGCCGAGACCCCGTTGATAGCTAACGTGCGCCCCCCCTCCTCCTAGGCACCGACGCCCGTTTCCCCAACGTCAACCAGACCAAGCACTGCTGGCAGAACTACGTCGACTACCACAAGTGCATCACCGCCAAGGGTGAGGACTTCGAGCCTTGCCGCCAGGTACGCATATAGCTCCTCCTAGCCTTTACGGGACCTCCCCGGCCAGACGACCCTCATCATACTGACAACGGCCATAGTTCTGGTTCGCCTACCGCTCGCTGTGCCCTTCCAACTGGTACCAGCGTTGGGATGAGCAGCGTGGTATGTCTTGCATTGTCGAACTTGAGCAAACCCCCCTCTACCCGAGATTTTATCATGCTGACCATTTCACGCAGGGGGTGGTAACTTTCCCGTCAAGCTCGATGCTTAAATAACGCGGCCGACAGTGTGTGGTTGCGTGGGGTGTATAGGAGAGTGGAATTGTATCAATGCACAGGTTTCAATTAGAGTCAGATGTATCAGATGGCTTCAAAATGAATATTTTGATTAAAATGCTATTTACAAGTGCACGTTTCGTGACACGTGAAATGTTGCTCGTACGAGCATTGTATACCGACGACTGTAGAGGTTCCTCATGGCCTGTATATAATATAGCTGAATCTAATAAAGAGCCTGTAAAACGCCTTCGATATTATCTGTATCCTGGTAAACTAGTCTTATTCGTATTCCATGGCATATAAAAAAAGTGCAATTTCAGGAGCTTTAGGATAGAAGGGGCGGTTGCATAGTCCCTTGACATTTTTTGTTGGCAGCTGCAGCTGGAGCACTTTGGCCGGTGAGCAGCCATTGGAATAATAATGCCGCTGGACGTGGCTGGGAAGTATCCGAGTTTTTGTCCAGTGTGGAAGCAGCTGTTGAGGACGGGCCGGGGCGGAGCGGCAAGTGATGCCATGCTAGCAAAGCCATAGTGCGTCGCGCCGACATAGTGACCTGCCTGGCAGTGAAACCCATCGTGTTGCTTCTTAGAAGTAAAGAAAAGAAGAGAAGCTCCAGAAATCGGCACACTATTTTTTGTCGGTCTCCTCATCAGAGCTCATGAACTCATCGTCCTCGTCAAATCCAAAGAAAGCAGGTGCCTTCCCCTTGCCCTTGTCCTGCTTGGCGGGCTCGGAAAGAGGTGTCGATTCCTTGGAGCTGGCTTCATGCTCGTCCTCTTCCGAACTAGAGAGATTCTGGGCATGGCTTGAAGAAGAAGAGGTGTTGGATCCCTCCGAGGTTCCGAGGAGGTTGTCCGTGTAGCTGCCAGCCTTCATGGCGGCGAGGACAGCATCGCGTGTCTTCTCGCTGCTCTCCTCCCTATCCTCTACCCACTTGCCGTCAAGACGTCCCTTGCTTCCAGACTTGATCTCGGCCTCTCGCTTGTCTGCCGTCTCGATGATCTGCTCCCACCTCTTGCGGCGCCTTTCCTTCTCTTTCTTGTCCATATCGGGCTTGATGGCGAGGTACTCCGCCAGCGATTTGGCCTCGTTCACGGTGCGCAGCCGCCGTCCGTCAAGATTTCGGTTGGACCCATGGTCATCCTGGTTCTTCTTCTTCTTGGAGGACATGCGCCCTCCGGCGGCACGCAGCTGAGAGCCGAAACCGCCCTTGCCACCGCAGAGGGGCGTCGCAAGACGCAGAGAGAGGAAGTCATCTTGAGGCGAAGAGAGGTAGTTTGATAGCGGCGCATCGGAGAGCTGCGGAATCTGCTTGTTCGAGAGGGTGGTGAGGATGAGCCTCGAGTCGCATGCCGGCAGTCGTTGGGCGATTTGCCTCCGTAGGTCTGATACTGTCGTTGTTGCTGGGACGGGCAGCGCAAGGGTCGGCGGCAGACCCAGACCGGCGAAGCTGGTCAGGAGAACGTTGATATTGTCCGACGACATCGTTTGCAAGTAATGCGCTCTGTATTCGAACCTCTATTATGGCGACCTGAAATGATGATGACTTTTTTGCCTTGCAAGAGTTGTTGGGGTGGTTTCTTTTGTTTGTTTGCTAGCAACGCCCCCGGGTGGTTGGCTAGTAGTATTACTCGCGACTTTGGGTCTGAAGACAAAAGGGTGGCGCTTGCGCCACAGTTCAGAGAACCCCCGCTTGTAGCCCCATATCTTATCAGCACGTGATACCCAGCCGCAGCCCACACAACAGCCGCCGCACCCTGGCCCGGGTCGAATTTCAACGTAGGGTTTCCGCCCACAAGAAATTCCCAATTTGAGCCCAGGCATCCTCTCATTGATTCGAACAACCCACCACCCACGCAGCATCGACAAGACGACCGACCCAAGCCGCCACGATGCTCATCCCTAAGGCCGACCGCAAGAAGATCCACGAGGTAAATGGCATTCGCAGCGATGATTTCTTTTCTTTCCTCTTCTCTCGGGAGACTCGAAAAAAAAAGCCAACCGAGATCCTTCGTTGTCATTGTTCGTGCGTATTTGCTAACATGATCGAAAAAATAACAGTACCTCTTCCGTGAGGGTGTTCTCGTGGCTCCCAAGGACTTCAACCTCCCCAAGCACCCCGACCTCGACACCAAGAACCTCTTTGTCATCAAGGCCTGCCAGTCGCTCACCTCGCGCGGCTACGTCAAGACCCAGTTCTCCTGGCAATGGTACTACTACACCCTGACCCCCGAGGGACTCGACTACCTCCGCGAGTGGCTTCACCTTCCCGCCGAGATTGTCCCCGCCACCCACATTAAGCAGCAGCGCTCGCACGCTCCTCCCCGTGGCATGCTCGGCGAGGGCGAGCGCGAGAGGAGGCCGTTTGGCCGTGGCCGCGGTGGCGACCGTGGTGACCGTGAGGGTGGATACAGGCGTCGGGATGCTGGCGAGGGCAAGGAGGGTGGTGCTCCCGGGGAGTACGCTCCCCAGTTGTAAGTTTCCATGTCTCCCCCGGATCTTTTTTTCCCCCTCTCTCGACATTGTTGTGTGACCCCTCAACTTCGTTCGACCTTCCTGCTGACAATTTTGGTGTGTTGTAACAGCCGTGGTGGCTTCGGACGTGGCCGTGACCGCGACGGTGCCCCCCCCGCCCCTTCCTCTTAAAGAAACTGGGAACCAAAAAAAATTGAATTGCATTGGTCAAGCCTACTCTCGAGATGCATGGCGATTTATAAAGAAGGATATCGACATGTACTCTTAAACGTGGAGGGAAAAAACAATTCATAACGAGTCGGCTCGTGTGATAAATGATCGGCTACGTGGGGTTCACTGTGGGAGTTTGGAGGTTTAAAATCCTCGGAAAATGATTTGCATCAGGGTCAAAAGATGTTTTGCTCTACATTCTCCGGTCCTGCTTTGGTCCCTCATTGTGAAAAGTTTCTCACAAGGCTCGGCATATATATATGTCTAAACCCCAAAAAAAAAGAGTAGATGTCTTTTTTATGTTCAACTTGGCACCGGGTACTCTTTGTGACTCTGCTATCTACTTGCGAGGCAACCCTTGCCAATTGCTGCCCCGCCACCAACCCTACATATTGGGCGGCAAGTTCGTCGATTTATCTTGATTCTGCAAACCATACGTCTTTTTTGTGTGTACATTGACTTCATTAATCAAGTTCAAGTCCTTTATATGTTTGACCCGCCTAGAAACGCTTTCACATATGCATTCAAGGACCCAAGAGTGCTAATATCCAATATCCTGATTCGGCATGATGGCATCACTCTGCATTGCCATTGCACCAAGCATACCGAAAGTCTCCTCGCCGGCCGCGGCCATGGGCAAATTCCACTCGCCAAAATCTGTAAACTCAGGGGCACCGGTCGCAGAATTCGCCGTGGTGGGGGTGCTGACATCTACGTCGTCCTTTGGCTCATCAAGATTGACTGCGAGAGCGTGTTCAAGACCGCGCAGGATGACGCCTTCTAGGCGGTTGACGGCATACTGCATGGGTTCGGAGCTCTTGCTCATCATGCGCAGCTTCCAGAGATACGAGTTGAGCGTTTCCTCCCAGAAGCTGCGCTCCGAGGAAGACAGGGACGTGACGATCAGGAGGGTGGTGAAGGACCCCAGGAGGGAGAAGAGGTATGGGCTGGTGAAGTACCAAAAGGCCTCAAGGTGGTCTGGGCGCAGCACCGTGACAAAGCCGATTGCATTCTGGGCCGTCTGGAGGGCGAGCTGGCGGACGCCGGCAAGGATGGCTCTGTCGTCGCAGCGGGGTGGGAGGGCGGTGGAGCGTACCAGCCGGCGCAGGACCGTCATCGTCACGCCGTAGTACGATATGTGAAGGAAGCCGTGGAAGCAGAGCTTGCGCTGATATGTGACTTCCATGCCCAGCGACGCGGGGATGCTGGCGTACCAGGCGTTGAGACTGACGAGCAGCGGACGCGCCCGTTCGTGCAATACCACGGTGTCCTGTTCCCGGCTCGTCCTAGCCGTGTAGAAGGTTGACAGGACGGTTGACAGGATCTGCGTCAGCTGCACCATCTTCATGAAGAGGAGTGTGCCCGTGGTGGCGATGGAGCAGTGCTCGTCATCCGGCACCAGCGGCGGCGCCGTGTCATCGTTGAAGCTAGACATCGTGATGTCCGTCACCGCCCAGTCGTCGTCGTGGATGTGCACGGGGCGGCCGTAAGCCAGTGCCGTCCACCTGTCCTGCATGTATAGCGCCCAGCTCAGCCGCTTGCGCAGGTTGCGCTCCCACTGCGGTATGCTCCAGTCGCTCGCGTCCAGGTGCAGTCCCAGACACTGCCCGATGGCTAGGGCCTGGCAGGTGAGACCCCATCTGTACGTGTGGTCCGGGTTTAGGGGGTCCTCAGGCTTGCACTGCAGCAGCAGCAAGGCCGCCTGCACCGAGTACATCCGGGGGCGGTGGTACGATTGCGGTAGGCACTCGGCGAGGATTCTGCGGAGAAGCGTGGCGTCTGGAGGTTGCCGTATCGACAGCTGCGGATCGTACGTCCACCACCGCAGCGAGCACAGATACATGGCCCCCAGGAGACAGGCGGGGATGTTGCGGTGCCCTTGGCTGTAGTAGTGCATGAAAGCATGCTTCGCGATGATGGGGTAGCACGGATGCACGTGGCGCCAGAACAGGTCGATCAGGCTCGGGCCGTGGGGCTTCACGCAGTCCTCGATGCTGTCGGCGCAGGAGTTGCCCCAGCACTCGCTGACGGCCTTGTCGTCGCTGGCCAGGTGAAAGATGAGAGGGTACTCTTGGCCGCCATCCTTCTCCAGCACCCGGCGGACGGCGTGGGTCTCGAGGCTGAACTCGTGCGTCACGGGATTGTAAGGCCTGTGCCGCATGAGGATGGGCTCCATGTCGCTCCCCAGGCCGTACAGCTCGGCGAACTGATCGGGGAGGAAGCCCAGCGTCGGCGGAGAGGGAGGGGCGGTGGACGTCTTGGGATGCCGCACGTCCCAGCGCATCGCCATGGTGGTCACACCCGCCTCCGTGACATGGTAAATAGGCGGGTAAGGCGTATGGGGGGACGACGAGTCGGACAGAGATGCAGAGCTCTTTGCAGGCCCGGTAGTCTGGTTGGGCGTGGTGACGCTGCTGGAGTCTTGGGGTGATATGTGCTGCTGAGGCTTTGGCCCGATGCTGCTGTTGATGGAATCATCGTTTGTATTGCTCTGCTGGTTGGATCTTCCAGAGATAGACGTTCTTCCCGGGGGTTCCTGCTCAAAAGTGCAGACTGTACGTCTCAACTGGCAGTACATGCAGACGCCGTCACCTTCCTTGGTGACGCATCTCGTCTTTCGGCGTCGGCACGCATCGCAGGGTCTGGGGCTTCGACGCTGACGCTTGCGCGGGTTGGTCTCATAGTCTTGAGGCGTAAGGATCTCCATTCCGTGGATATTCCTTTTGAAGATGTCGTGATATTTTTAGAAACAGAATGAATGAATCAAACCATTGTCGCTTGACTGGCTTGTTTAAAGATATGAGATCACAACCTCGGCGATGGGTGCGGGTTGTGTGTGGCTAATACGATAAATCACACTGTGCTAGACACGGCTGGTAACCACGTCACAAGTCGAGGCGTGGCGATGTTGAATCTCAATCTCAATCGAACTATAAATCTTGCACTAAGAGGTAGCATTTTCACCATGCATGTGGGATCGCGTACTTCCGAGATCGAGGTGTGCTGTCTCGCGAGCACCTTGTCTGTACCATGCTCCCGTCTCTATCACTGTTACTACTACTTACCGTATCACCGTATTGATACTGTACGCCCGCACCTCGCTCCATCTCCTCGGCTTGAGAACAAACCTTTTAGTCATGACTTTTTGCCTCACCTAGGAAGTGGTCATGCAGAGACAGCTGCAAAGGTACATGCCCAAGTACAACGGTACCATCTTCGACGAACCAACCGAAGCGCCTAGTCTCAGCTGCTGAGGGGCCGGGGTCTGGTAGTCTGAAGCTTAGTGGCCGCCTGCTGCAAACGATGTCGACCAACCTGCCCCGGAGGATGACAAGGAACTTGATGGCTGCCGTCTGGGACGCACGCCGTCATGCCTCACCAGCTCCGGGCCATCCACCGGCCGAGGTAGATGCATTTCATACTGGCCCCGCCTAGAAGTCGTCGAGTGGCGGGAAGTCGGTGAGCAGGGAGACGACGAAGAGGGGCGACACCGTTGCTGCCCCCGGCCGGCCAGAAGCTTAGGCGCTGGCCGTTGTCGGTGCCATCGGCCTGAAGCACCATGTCGAAGGAGCGGGCTCGAAGGAGTGGGCGTTGCGCTCTTGGACGTTGAACGAGGCGATGACGAGGTCAGCCTGCAGGTCCAGAAGGGTTGGTGACGGCGATCTCCGCGGAGGGCCCCGGCGAGATGATAGAGAGGATAAGACATGCTCCGGCAGAGGCAAAAGAGTCCTCTCTATGAGAGCCTTGCGGAATTCTGGGGCAATGTCTAGGTAGCCAGCCGTATCTGCTGACACTACCCGCCCCGTGCTCAGGTTACCACCCCAGAGCCACTTGCCCTGCTCGTCAACATAGTCGCCCAGACAGCCAAAGTAGATGCGCTCATCTGGTCTGCCAAACCGCGGGCACGACCTGACGGCCTGTCGTCTCCGGCCATTGAGGCTACTGCACGAGCCGTCGCGTGGTATGCGGAGCGGACCTCGGGCTACGCGGTATACGGTGCCCGGGTTGGGTCCCTGGAGTCGCGACGAGTGTACGAGGTACCATTTTACCGGTGGAGGAGAGGGTGAAGAGTCCCGGGCACTCCGGGAAAAACAGGTTGTTGTCGTTGTTGCTGGAGGGGGGGGGGGGGGGGGGGGGTGGTGAAAAAGGATTCGGGTCCACTGCCCAGCTGTCAAGGTTAGCTGATGTGAGGAGGGCGATGCAGCCGCGTGTGCAGAGTGCTGGCCCTGTCGCAGCCGCGTGTCCACCGGCATCCGATACCTCGATCCCGCGTCGTTGTAGAAGAGGTATGGATCGCGGAAGTCGATGCTCTCGAACTTGGAGAGGCCGCTACCGCTGCCGCCTTCCTCGTACAAGCTAATCATCTTTGCAGGGCCGTCGACTCGGTCGGCAGGATCGCTTGCTTGCCGTCCTGAACTGTGCTGTATCCGGTGTAAAAGATGTTCATATTCCCGTTCGCGCCAATGATGGTAGGTCCCGTCCGGAAACCATCAGCATCCGGGTCTGAGGACCGGCTCGGGATCCCACGCCTAGTCAACAAGACTGGCTGGCTCGATGCGTGACCGGCCCGACCTCAGACGAGGCGGGGTGGTATTGTTGTGGATGGGGGCCGTGGTGAGGTGGAATATTTGGTAAGTGCCGTCGATAAGGATGGGGATTCCGTCTGCCGTTGCCTGTGACTGTGAAGACCGACTGCATGTGGTGTCCTGTTGGGCCGGAACAGATCCTATGGGGGACAGCTTAGAGCGGTTAGAATGTTAATGAGTTACAACCGCCGATGGTCTCCACGACATTCCAAAACGGGGAATCAAGGTGGAGTCTTCCCCGTAGATCCGGGGTAATGAGGAGAAAGGGGGGAAAGCAGGCATTGAAGCTGATCGGTCTACAGCTCCAGGTTTCGATAAAAAAAAGGAACGGTGCCAGTCTATAATTGCCCTTATACTTCTGCGTCGTGATGTCACCAATCGATGTCGTCCGGCCCTTCGTGGAAAACCTCTATAAGTCAAACGTCATGACYKRATAGTACATACGACCACAGCCAGTGGAAAATACGGGGTCCCGTCCGCTCCCCCAGAGTCAAGCCGCTGAGCGGTGGATTAGTAGTTGGGTCGGTGACGACCAGCGAATACCCGCTGTTGTATGTTTTTTTTTCCACAATTTTTTATTTTCCCCTGCTTTCACATAGTAAGCAATATAAACCGAATTTTCACCACTTATTATCACATACGACCATAGCCAGTGGAAAATACGGGGTCCCGTCCGCTCCCCCAGAGTCAAGCCGCTGAGCGGTGGATTAGTAGTTGGGTCGGTGACGACCAGCGAATACCCGCTGTTGTATGTTTTTTTTTCCACAATTTTTTATTTTCCCCTGCTTTCACATAGTAAGCAATATAAACCGAATTTTCACCACTTATTATCACATACGACCTCTTCTCACTTATACCCTCCCTCCCATCAAGACCAGGTAAGGCAACGATGACTGTCGCTAGGTATCCCTACTTCTGGCTCTTTTGCGGCTTCGCAGCACTGGAGCTCGTCTCCACGACTTAGATGGGAGTGATTTAGATGGCGTATCTATCCTCGGTACGCTTCGAGAATGGGATTAGTCCGGCTGACTAGGGATTGACGTTACTGCTCTCTAGATGTGTCCTCGTACGCTACTCTGGCGAGCGCGATGCCGACGGGCAATACGCTGTCCTTGCCGTCGGACCTGTTCTATCACGAGATATATGGATACATTTTGATGAGCCGGTTGCGTCTCTGATGGCGACGCCCCTGAACGACTGCATGGGTCGTAAGCCCGTCTTCAGTCTGAGTGCTCTGACAGAACTGACCCTACATCCATCCCCTATATTCCCTATATTTTAGTAGTTGACCCTTCTAGGTAGGGTCGCCCGAACCCGCCCCCCCCCCCCCAATTGGGGGGAAGGAGGGTCACCTGACGTAGGGAGTAGTGTAGGGGGATTTCTAAAGAAGAAATGATTCTAAAATATTTACAATGTGCGATGTTCAAAACCACAACTGAACTATAGCAGCAGCCAACTATCAACGACAGCATGAGAGGACTGGGATTGACATGATATTAGTAGGGTCAGGCGAACCCCCCCCTCTAATGGGGTCGGGACGACTCTACGGAGTACTTAGAGGGGTCAAGTCAAGTAAAATACAGGGATGTTGGGTTAGTCGCTAGTTGCTGCCAGGGGAGGGTGGTAGGGTTAGTGTTAGTTTGTCAGAGCGGTCTTGTTTCCTGGTCTGCTTCGTTAAGGTGGTATAGCACCGCCACAGAATGTATTAACAGCCACAGACATCAGCCACAGAATCGGGACTCTCGTACTCACGAGCATCCTTCTCTTCTTTTCTTGTTTTCTTCCTGCTTTTCATTTTAATTCATTAGAATGTAAAGCTGTAGTGTTCTTTCCTTTCCCTGAGACGTTCACCACCAGGATTTATTGAGGTGTCGTTTTCGTTTGATGAAATTTGCCGTCAGATGTTTTGTTCTCTCTTCCTAGTATAGGCCACAAGAGGGCATCTTCCTTTTTTTTTCTTTCTAATCTACCACTCGCTCCCCTCTCCTCCGACAGAGATCATCATCGTATTACTAAAACCTGAGATAAGAAATGCAGCCGTCATGGTTCCTCCAAGGAAAAGACCGGCAAGACTCCCGGCCAACGGACCCCTGGCCACGGGGACATGCATGACCTGCGGCACCCTCCTGAGCTGGCCCGCCACAGCCGACCAGAGCGGCCTCATCAAGTGTAGCGTCTGCATCACCCTCAACCGAGTCGTTACCCTGAGCGAATGGAACCTTCTACATAGTGGCAGGAAGTATCCTGGTTTGTCTAGAATACATTCCGTGGAAGCCTCAGCGCGAAATGCAGCGTGTTACTGACATGGTTGTGCACAGTTGGGTCTCTGTCTGCTGAGCGCACCCAGGAACTTGTCGATGATTGTCTAAGGAAATGGGCTCTGGAGACGGTTCTGCACGAGGAAGATACATTTGCTAAGGAGGAATCATCGTACACCTCTCCTCAAGGAGCCTTCAAACCGGTGCAGGATTACCTCACTGCGGGCTTTAGCTCATTCGAGGCTGTGAACTCGTCCTTTTCTCTCCCGACAGACACTCGTGAAATCGAAGCAAGTTTGCAGTCTCTGGACCTGCCTTTGCCAGAGCCAGCAGAGCGATCATCTCTCTTGGAGTCGCCGATGATCGACTGGGACCACCTTGCCAGGTGGTTCGACTTAGTCGTATACCCCGCCAACAGATGGCCGGTGGTCTTGGAGGAGGTCTCCCGAAGGGCAGGCCATCGCCGTCCAACAGAGGATGAGCTGCAGTCGGCATACCGACATGTCATACAGGCGCAGGGCCATCTGCGGGAAGCGCTCATCAAGGCCACCACCAGCCTCCTGAAGAAGCCGGGGGGCAGGTTCTCAAAACCAGAGGAATTGAGAGCCTTTCTCATCATTATCGAGAACCCGATTCTGCATCTCAAAGACCGACGTGACAGCGAGGTCGCAAATCCGCCCGCTCTGTCCGGGCCGCTATCCGGAAGCCACTCTGGCCTCATCAAGCGTATCGTGGGACTTATCCACAACCTACCCCAGCACCTCAACCTTCAACTCATCCACTGGTGGTCGAGGTACGATGCACAGCGCTTCGCCAGGACAAAGGATCTCGCCTCGGGGTTTCTCAGCTACAGGCTCCTGCGACAGGAAGCCAACAGACGCGGCCTCGGGGCCGAGGCCATGCCCCGGCTCGTCTCAGAACTCCAGTTCCGCCGCTCGGATGTGGAGCTCGAAGACGGGATCTCCCCAACGTCCGGGACACGGAGGAGACGTCAAGGGGCCAAGGAGACGAGCTACCGTGATGACTGGCAGATACGCGCAGCATGCCACGTCTTGGGCCTGCTCTTCGACGCCAACAAGAAGTCCTACGGTACCAAGTCAGGGGTTCCCAAGCTGGCAGACGCCCGAAGCGGCCGGTTCCTCCCCGTGAGCGACTTCTATAATTCGCTGGCCGACTACGCCGAGGTCCACGCCGACTTCCACGGATGGGGCCAGGGGAAATCTTTCTCGCTGTCTCAATATCCATTTCTGTTGAGTATATGGGCCAAGGCGCAGATGGCTAAGCAGGATGTGAGCCGACAGATGGAGCAAGCCTCCGTGGGTCACATACTGTCCGGTACCGGCAGGTTTCTCACGCTCAACGTCAGACGTGACTGCCTCGCAGACGACAGCCTGACGGAGATCGGCACAGCCCTAGGGGGTGAGACGACCCAAGGAATGAGTAGAGCTCTGCGCATCAAGTTCGACGGCGAAGAGGGTATCGACGGCGGCGGTCCTCGCAAGGAGTGGTTCATCCTCGTCACTAAAGAGGTCTTTGACCCCCGTACAGGTATATTCCTCTATGCCGAGGACTCGCAGCACTGCTACTTCAACCACTCCTACGCCAGCGAAGAAGACGCGGAACTGTACTTCAACATCGGCGCCACCCTGGGACTGGCCATTGCCAACTCGACAGTCCTGGACCTCCCTTTACCACCCTTCATGTTCCGCAAGCTTGTAGCGGAAGCCCCTGACTGGTGCCCAGCCAACCATTTTACCGGCGCCGGAAAGCCCCTTGCATATTCCTTGGACGACCTGGCTGAGTATCGGCCCCAGCTGGCCAGCGGACTATCGCAGCTCCTGGAGTACCAGGGCGACGATGTGGAGCAGGCCTTCTCTCTAGACTTCGTCATCGACGTCGAAAATTACGACGGAACTACAGTCCGCGTACCGCTCTGTGCAGACGGCGAGAACACGCCCGTCACCAGCGCCAACCGGCAGGAATACGTCAAATGCTACGTGAACTATCTCCTACGCGACTCAGTGCAGGTGCAGTTCACCGCCTTCGCAGAGGGCTTCTACAGGGCTTCCCCGGCGCGTACGGCCGCACTCTTCGGGCCCGATGAGCTCGACCTCCTCCTGCGCGGGTCGGACGAACCCCTGGACATCGCCAGCCTCAGAAGAACAGCCGACTACGAAGGCTGGGGCACGGCCGACCCCGACGATGGAAGCGAGCAGCTGGTGGGCTGGTTCTGGGAGGTATTTGGGGAAGCCTCGCCGAGCGATCAGCGGAGACTGCTCTCGTTCGTCACGGGAAGCGACAGGATACCGTCAGTCGGTGCAGCCGTGGCGCCGCTGCGCATCTCGTGCCTCGGCGATGAGACGGACAGGTACCCCGTCGCCAGGACGTGTTTCAACCTCCTGTCTCTGCATAGGTATGAGACGAGGGAGAAGCTAGAGAGCATGCTGTGGAGGGCGGTATATGACAGCGAAGGCTTTGGTCTTGCCTAGCAGCCCCCACTGAGAACACATGTAGAAAGAAAGGAGGGGGACGGGAAAAGGAATAGTGATGCAAAAAAACAAACAAAAACCAAGAATGAACCAATATATGATGTGGTTCTACTAATACAGAAAATGCTGCACTCCCTTCGGTTTTTGTCACCAGGCCAGTGATTACATATAATACAGAGATTTTCGAATTTTTCTTTTTGTCGCGTTCGTCCTTCCACACTCGACAAACACTTCTCCCCCGAAAACGTCGTTTAGTCGGTCATGCCGCCGGCCTCGCGGGCACGCCTCAGCATGTCAGCCTCCCTCTTCTTCTCGGCCCTGACTCCAGCAAGGTACTGTCTGTCGTACTCGCTCTGCTTCTTGAGGCGCTCGAGGTCCTGGATCTCAGCCAGCTCAGCCTCGGTGGGCTTGAGGGGCACGGCGCGAGTCTCGGCGAGGAAGTACTCGAGGATCTGGGCGGAGTGTTTGTTCTGCATGTCGATCTCGACGACGCGCTCCCCCGGGCCCGGGGGCTGGGCCTTGGACAGGCCGGAGCCCGAAGAGGCGGGCTGGGCTGCCACGGTGGACTGGTCGGACGGGGAGGAGGCTTCGCCGTCGCGGAGGTAGATGGTCATCTTGGGGGCCGTCTCGTTCTGTCGGTGACGGTTGACAATCATGGGGATCGAAGGGTTGTGATACTTGAGACGGGGGAGGTATTCCCTCCAGAACTTCCTGCCATCGTCTCTCCGTCAGCGTCGGAGGAAGGGGAGAGGGGAGGGGAGGGGAGGGGGGCAAAAGGCAGGTAGGGCGTACCTAGGTCCCATGTGGCCATTGCGCAGAGCGTGGGCAAAGTCCATGTGTATACGAGTGACCTCGGAGGGAAGGACAGCAGCGCCGGGCCCGCATTGGAGGTTGATGAGCTGGAGAGTGTTAGTTATTCGTGCGAGGTTCAAGCGCATCGTAAGGGGAGATGGTACATACGGCCTATTGATGGGAGAGAATAGTCAGCACTGTTTTCTTTGTATATGAATGAAAAGCGAGGGGATGAAAAGGGGTAGCAATGTAGAAAAAAAAAATTGAAAAATTCATACCTTCCTCAGCTTGTTCCATCGAATACCTAATGTCCTCATTGTGAGAGTTTTGGTTGAAGTTGCTTGTGTTGATCACGACGCTGGAATTGGAAGATCTTGCGTTTGACGGGAAAATCCAAGGCGGAGAGACCCCTGCAACCATTGGGATGGGCGGAACGGCAGCCTGGTTCATCCGGCCGCAAAATCGAAGTCTCTAGTAGTGGCCCATGGGGACGCCAACATACGCGACTTCACGTCACATTCTGGGGATCCTTTTTTATATATAATATATATATTTTAATGACAGGTTGAACCACTCTTCCTTCTTCTCCTCCTCTTCCTGCAAAGCACTCTTCTACGGATACAGCGGAGGAGTCATGCACCGGGCAGTTTCTGCGCGATGGCTTTCTCGAGCTCTTCGCATCCGTGAGGGGCCGTCTCTCTTGTCCACGGCCCCCCCTACATTTCTATGCCCAGCCGTCGCCTTTCACGCAAGCAGCGGTACCAGCAGAACATGTCTCGCCGCGACTCCTGCCCAACGGCGCAGGTTGCATATCGAGGCGACCTCCACCGAACAAGCCGTTGACGATCCGACCCCTGGGACTGCTGGAGAGCCTGAGGTGCAGTCAGTATCCGCGCCGTTACCACGTCGCAAACTTCCCGTCACCTGTGCGGGATGCGGTGCCCTCAGCCAGACACACGACGAGAAGCAGCTCGGATTCTACAACGTCAAGGGTAAACGAGTGCAAAAGTGGCTCCGACCGGAGAAGCAGCTGTCGGCAAAGGAGAAGAAGAGCCAGGAAGACCATGTCGTCAGCACGGCCCTCTCAACGCTGGGCGCTGAGGAGCTCGAGGCCCTGGGCATCAACCCGTCTCGACTTGAGGCAGGAGAACTCCCCGGCCAGCACGATGGCGAGGAATCCAGCGTCATCGGAGAGCAAGCCGGGGGGAAGCCTCCTGTGTGTGAGCGCTGCCACAGCCTGAGCCACCACGGCCTGCACGGGAGCGCGAGCGCCGACGTGGTCATGTACCATCCCACCGTAGAGTCCCTGCGCGAGACGATTGAGGAGTCCCCCCACCGGTACAACCACATCTACCACATCATCGACGCGGCCGACTTCCCCATGTCGCTGATCCCGCGACTCAACGTGCTCCTGGGCGACATCCCCCTGCGCACGCGCAACCGCCGCTCGCGCGCCCACAAGTACATGAAGGACCGCCAGATCGAGATGAGCTTCGTCATCACGCGCGGCGACCTGCTGGGCCCCACCAAGGAGAAGGTCGACAACATGATGCCGTACCTGCGCGATGTGATGCGCGACGCCCTGGGTCGGCTGGGCGGACGAATTCGTCTGGGGAACTTGCGCTGCGTGAGCGCCAAGCGCTCTTGGTGGACGCACCAGCTCAAGGAGGATGTCTGGAAGCGCGGCGGTGCCGGGTGGATGGTCGGCAAGGTCAATGTCGGCAAGAGCCAGCTGTTTGAAGCCATCTACCCCAAAGGCAGGATGAGCTTGCCCGCGCCGGCGGCCAGGAGGGATGGCGAACACGGCGTCTCCGTGTACCCCCGTGAGGAGCAGCTCCTGCCACCCCCGGCGAATGAAGCGTACGGGGACGACGCAGACGAACTCTATGTCTCCAGCCTGCTGCCTCCGCTCCAGCCGGCCCGGCAGTATCCCGACATGCCCATGGTATCCGACCTCCCGGGCACCACTGCGTCGCCCATCCGCATCCCTTTCGGCAACAAGAAGGGCGAGCTGGTCGATCTCCCTGGCCTGGCCCGCAGCGACTTGGAGCTGTTCGTCAAGCCGGAGCACAGGAAGTCTCTCGTCATGAAGAGCCGCATCGTCCCGGAGCAGCTGTCCTTTACCTCGACGCACTCGCTCCTCCTCGGCGGCGGGCTGATCCGCATCACCCCCCGCACCCCCGACGTCACCTTCCTCGTGTACAACTTCACCCCACTCGACGAGCACGTCACCAGCACGGTCAAGGCCATCGACTTCCAGAACCAGACGCGCGTGTCGTCCGGCGTGGAAAACTTGTCCCTTCCCGGGATCGGCGACAGGATGCTCCATGCGGGGACCTTCCAGCTCAAATACGACGTCACCAAGGGTCGTGCCGGTCCGCTGACGAGGAAGGCAGCCGTCGGCTTGAAGGTAGAGAACCTGCCCTTTCGCGTCTTGTCTGTCGACATCCTCATCGAGGGGGTGGGATACGTCGAGGTTGTAGCGCAGGTCCGCGCCAAGGACCTGCAGCGGAGATCGTCTTCAAGCCTTCCTCCCCCTCGGGAAGTTGAAGAAGAAAACGAGGAGGAGGAGAAGGACCCGTTTGCTGCCATGGCGAGCCAGCGTCGCGATGCAAGCGGTGCTGCCCCCCTCCCAGCGAGGCGGGAGCCGAAGCCGAAGCCGCAGCACAACATCGATGAGCAGCTGGGCGAGCCTGACTGGCCGGCCGTCGACGTCTTTTCACCTGAGGGTCGTTTCGTGGGCTCTCGCATGCCGATTGAGGGATGGCTGAATAACAAGCCGCTCGTCAAGCCGGAGCACAAGAGGAGTCGCCCGAGAAAGAGTATGAGAGGGCAGAAGAAGATGGAGAAGATGGAGAAGAGAGCGGCTTGAGAATTAGGTACTCTCTCTCATCATCATCATCATCATCAAAACTGTATCATATTACATGTATATGACCGAGAGAGAAAGGGTGCATTTACCTTGGGCGTTGCATTGGAGCACATGATAGAAAATCGAACATTTGTAACATTAGCTACCTATTTACTATTACACCCTAAAACGACTGTAACGATATTTACTTGAAAACTAAGACCAAACCACTTCTAGCAGCGAAAGATTATATCTTCAACAGTGATGACGACGACGACGACGATGGCGATGGCGATGGTGATCTACTGTCTGCTGCTGCTGCTGCTGATGTCACGAGCACCTAAAGTATGGGGGTTTCGGCAGCTTGAAGCTAATCCATTTATAGCTGGGAGGGGCGAAAACTGACGGGTAGACGGGCGATTATTTACGACAGTATTATTCTCTGCCTCCCGAACGGATGCGAGAAGAACTGTCGTTTCTCCCATGACAAACCACCGCAGCCACGATAAACAACGCTTTCATTCCCCCTCGAAAACGCACTTGTTCTCTCGCTTCTTTCGTCATCGTCACCCCCGACACTATCTGCCACGGTCAAGCAATCCACACAGCCGGCCCGACCATGTCGCAACGACGAGGAGAGCGGCCCGACCAAGCCCGAGGCACACAGACGACGACAGAGCATCAGAATGAAGACCAACCAGGGCAGCAGCAGCAGCAGCAGCAGCAGCAGCAGCAGTCGAGAGTCCTTCGCCTCCGCGGGGCCAGGCCCTCCAACGACCACTCGGTAAGGTGGGCAGAGGATGTGGTGGACAATGAAGGGCTAGGACGCAAGAGTTCCAAAGGTATACACACACACCCCCCACTATGGCATGGATGAGGGGAGATGATGGGGAGCTGACAATATGTGTGATCGCACCGAAACAGTCTGCTGCATATACCATCGGCCAAAACCAGTTGATGAATCGAGCGACGAGTCGTCGTCCTCGTCCGACGACGATTCTTCCTCCGGAGACGACCACCACCAGGAACCTCATCACCACGGCAAGGGTAAAGGGAAAGGGAATGATGACGCCTGCGGCGGACATAGCCACGGGAAGAAGAAGCCGCCCAAGCAGAACAGGGCGCCGAGTCCGAACGCGTATGAGAAGGTGCCCAAACCGAAACCGAAAGAGCCGACCGGGGGGGTGGGCAAGTAGAAATGGTCCTTTGACTAGCAGGTCTATCCTTCTCTTTCTTTCCCTTCCTTTGTTGCCTTGATGGCAGGCCGCGCCATATTACGAGACGAAGACTCGCACGACTTTACGACGAGGGGGTATCATGGTATTATCACTACTATTACATACTTGCCATACAAATATTGAATGTCCTCCTCCTCCCTTACGGTGCCTCCTCTCCCTTGTTCCTACTCTGGACGACGAAGAACCTCCCGGCCCGCCTCGAAGCCGTAGACAGTGCATCCCAATCCTCCGCCTCATTCCTCTTCCCCCGCGTGTCGACGACCCGCCGCCTGGGCCGCTGGTAGTGCCCCACGCGCACCTCGTCTTCCAGCAGGGCCCCCAGCCTGTCCATGTCGACAGTGGCCTCGCGCGTGGCCTGGTCCGTCTCATCGCGCACGGCGCGCAGGGGTTCCACGCCCGTGGTGTCGACGCGCTGAACGGACCGGACAAAGTGCAGCTGGCTCTGGAGCGTCGAGATCATGGCCTGCTCGTCGGATGGGGACTTTGGGAGCGGCAGGGCGCACAGTCGGAGGAGATGGTGCAGCTTAGAGGGCGTGATGATCTCATCCTTCTGACTGTTGGAGGAGGATTCGGGTATGAGCGATCGGACGGACCATGTTGGTCGGGAGAGCATGTGACGTGGTGTGATGGGTGTTGAGCTAGAAGAGGACATGGAGCGGAGAAGGCGCCATCTCCCCGGGACGACGGCCAGACGACGGCAGCTGGTGCAGAGAGACATTGCAGTGTAAATGTTAGAATTCAGACTTTGGGGATCAGGAGAGAAGCAGTAGAGAAGATGGTCGACGGTTGGGATAGAAAGAAGGAGAGGGATGGCAGCAGAAAAAAAAACCCCGTTGATCTAATCCCCGGTTACCCTGCGCGTAGCACTGGGGGGGGGGGGGGATAAGTGGGTCAGCGTAGTTGGCGTCATAACGCCTTGCACCCTTCGTCAGCCTGAGACAGTGAGAGCTTCCCTCCCCCACATCAACCGCTCAACCCAACCGACGACGAACGAACGACCTTCTTGTTCCTTCTCGATACCCTCATCGTAACCATTCACCAGACTTGACCTTCTCCATCGCTACTCTGCCCGTCATGTCGCAGGATCCTCGCGCCCTGCTCCAAAAGGTAAAGAGACAAGACAAAAAAACGATACATCACGAACCTCTCTTTCTCTCTCTCACGAACCCCTCCTCTCCCCCCCCCCCCCCCCCCCATTATATCCACATCTACACTACAGGCAGGTAAATGCGTTTAATATAAAAAAAACTGACCTTTCTTCTCTCTACTGTTCAGACTCCGCGGCTGGTCAAGCTTTCGAAAGGGCCGCCGACATTTACAACAAGAACCTCAACGAGCCCGACGATGCCGCCAACGTCCTTGTAGATGCCTTCAAGGCTTACCGCAAGGAGGAGCCGCAAAAGGCTATCCGTTGCGTCGACTACGCCATCGAGCGTTACTGCGCAAAGGGGAACTTCCGCCGCGCTGCCGGCCACAAGGAGGCCATTGGTGAGATCTACGAGCAGGACCTGGGCGACACCAAGAGTGCCATCGACGCCTACGAAGCAGCTGCTAGCTGGTACGAAGGTGACAATGCTACAGCGTAGGTTTCTTTCTTTCCTTCTCTTCTTCATCTTTCTCCTACTCTTCTGCTTCTTCTTATTCCCGATCACATAATTACCCCACAAAGCTTTGGATTGATCCTCTCTGACTCGTGCACAACAGCCTTGCCAACAAGCTCTGGCTCAAGGTCGCCGACGTCGCCGCCCTAGAGGGTGACTACTACAAGGCCATCGGCAACTACGAAAAGGTGGCTGAGGTTTCCATCAACAACAACCTGATGAAGTACAGCGTGAAGGAATACTTCTTCAAGGCTGGCATCTGCCACCTTGCCAATGGCGACCTGGTGGCCGCCCAGCGTGCCCTCGAGCACTACCGCGAGATGGACCCTACCTTTGGCGCCCAGCGCGAGTTCGCCCTCCTCACCGACCTATGCGCCGCCATCGAGGCTCGCAAAGAAGACCAATTCACCGACAACCTCTTCAAGTTTGACCAGATCAGCAAGCTCGACAAATGGAAGACGACGCTGCTCGTCCGAGTCAAGAATACGATTGGCGCCGGTGACGATGATTTCGCCCCTAGTGGTGGTGTCGACCCCGTCGATGATGATGATGATGAGTTTGCCTAAATGTTGTTGTTGTTATTGTTGCTTTTGTTTACCTCTCTTTCTTGACCTAACCCTCATATGTTCATCTTTGTCCTCTTTTTTTTTTTTTTTTTTTTTTTTTTTTTTTTTGGTTTTTGACATCACACGGGAATCACAACACAAATTAGCATGTAGATACTCAACTTTGTTCTTTCCACTTTCCTCTTCATGCTTATTACGTTCTCTTGTTATTATTGGAGTGAATGGAGTAGAATTTCTTTTGGCCTTTGGGACGTCAATACCAATGGTATGATTGGTGTCTCGTATGCCATGAACATCAACAATAGCAACTAGACTATCCCTTCATACCTATCCCCTTCCCCTCAAAGAAGCAATCTACGGGCGCCACGTATCGCTCTGAGAAGCAGTCGATGAGCAACCGGTGGCAACGGTGTAGGCGCGGTTCGCGCCAGTCTCCCAGGTGACCGCACCGTTCGAGGCGACGTTGATGTACTTGTACTGGAGCGACTCCCCGGGCAGGAGGTTGACGGTCCCCTTCCAGACAGGGTTGGAGGCGGTGTAGTCGGAGGCGCTGAGGGCGACGGCCTTGGAAGTGTCCCAGCTACCGAGCTCGGCAGAGTTTCCGGAGATCTTGACGGTCTGGCCGTACTGGGTCGCGGCCTTGACGGTGAAGGTGACGGCGACGGCGGTAGCCTGGACGCACGAGGTGGAGGTGGCCTTGGTAGAAGTGGCGGTGGTGGCGGTGGTGGTGGCAGTGCCGGCGGTGGTACCAGTGGCAGTGCCGGTGGCGGTCAGGCTTCCGGGGAAGGTGGTGACCGTGGCGGAGGTGTATGATCCGACGGCGGTGGACTTTTGGCACGACGCGGGCAGGACGATGTCGGGCTGGCTGGCCCAGGAGGGGGGCACAGTTCCCGCGCGGCGGGCGACGGCGGTCAGGAAGGCGGAGTAGGACCAGGTGAGGTGCTCTGCGGAGGTGGGGGTGCCGTCGCTCTTGGAGTACTGCTCGGCCAGGGCGCCGTCGGTACCGGCGTAGGTGGAGACGACCTCGACGAAGCCGTCGGCGTAGGTGGAGACGGCGTCGACGAGGCCGTCGAAGGTGGTGGAGCCGGACAGGTATGTGCCCGCGGCGGTGGAGGGGGCTAGGTCCTGGAAGAAGGGGAGCGACAGCGACGTCACGGTGATGTAGCCCTGGGCCTTCCACACGTACACGGCGTCGTACAGCTGCTCGGCCACGGACAGGGTGTTGAGGTACCACGGGTTGCCGTCGTAGTAGACGTCCTCGGAGTAGCGGCCCACGGCGATGGCCTGGCCGGTGGCGATGCCGCTGTTGATGGCGTAGCCGCGGAACGAGCTGACCACCAGCCGGAGGTTGGACAGGGCCCGGTCGCTGCAGGGCTGGAAGGAGGTCGAGTCGCAGCCTAGGGCGGGGTCGAAGGTGTGGATCGAGGCCAGGACCGTGTTGGTGTCCTTTCCTGTGCGGCCGTCGTTGACGTTGACTGTTTCGTGTCAGAGGACGGTCTGTCCCCGGGGGGTGATGGAGGATATTCGTATGCAGGGTTCGTGCGAAGACTTACTGTTGGCGTCAACGTATCCCTGCTCGGGAATCCAGAAGGTCTGGAGGAAGCAGAGGATCTGCGGGGCAATGCTGGAGTACTTGGAGCTGGCGGTGGTCTGGCCAAGGGTCGAAGCCAGAGAGGCACCCTCGACAAGGGCTACGTAGAAGAATGGTTGAGAGATGGTTAGCCGTCATGTATGTCTTCACTTCCGGGGGGATATACATGGGACATACCCCTCCACTGACTGGCCGTGGTGAAGAAGGAGCTGCCGTTGACCTCCTCCCACAGGTCGAAACCGGTGTTGTTCCTATAGTTTTGTCGCCGTCAGACAAGGCACGACATTGCCGAAGAGGAGAGGGGATGGAATGACCTACCAGTACTGAGCAACGTATTCGAGATCGTTGCGGGCTACGGGCCAGACGACCTCGCTGGCGGTGGACTCGTAGCCATTGTCGATGAGCCACTTGGCGTAGGAGACCAGGGCAATGGCCCGGAGGGCAGGACCATCGTGCTGGGGGCGACCTTTTGTACTCTGTCAGTTTTGGATTTCGAGGATGCGTAACATATCCATACATGTGTGTGCGTATGTGTATGTGTGCGTGTGTGCGTATGTGTGTGTGTGTGTGTGTGTGTGTGTAGGGCTGGAGGAGGGGAGATGACATACCCCAAGAGCCAGTAAACTGAGTCAGGTCAACGTTGAACTTGGGCTCACCGAGACCGGAGCCACCAGAGAGGGAGCCGGAAGGGTTGGAGACACCCTGGAGCTTGGCCTGAGAGATGACGTACTCCTGGATGTGGCCCTGCAAGGTGCTGTCGTAGGAGCTGGTGAAGCTGTCTACGACGCCCTTGAGGACGAGGCCGGCATCTCTGGTCCAGGTGTAAAAGTCTATGAGGGGACGTGTCGGTCAATCAAACAGTGGTTGATGATGCACGTACCAGCATTCTAGAGAAAAG